GATATTTCAAGCAGAAAGGGATTTAACGTAGGGACTTAGGTGATGGTATAAAAGAACCACTGGCAGGACTGCAAGAGTAAAAGTTAGAATTATAGGATTATGCCACTTTCTCTTTCTTTTTTGATCATACTGCCCCAAGCTGTGATCAAGAGGTCTGAAAAGCTGTTGCTGCCACTCAGACACTGGGAAGTCATGGCTGTCTTGTAGCTCTGAAGCCACTGATTGACTGGCTATTACAAAAACTCAGTGGCCAAAGATGATGTGCCAGCTGCCATCAGAATCAGGTTAAAAATGGCTTCCTCCCTCTTCAGTCTTTTGCATCTCATGTGAGCTCATCTCACTGGTAAAAACTAACTGTATTTATATCCCAGTTATAAAGGAAGTTTGGGAGATGTAGTTCCCAAGTTTCTGGCTCCTATGAGCTATATCCTATCTCCTATGGGAGAGTATGGAAGGGAATAGAAAGGGGTACCAAATGCTAGTAGACAGTATCTGTCTAATACGGCCTAGCCCTGTGGCTTCTCAGCATCCACATTTACCCTTTTGTCCATATCTAAATTCCCAGCGGCATCAATAGGGACAAAATGCTTCCATCTAAAGGAAAGCATGGTTACATAAAATAATGTAGCCACCCTGTCCCTCTAGAGAAAGACCCAGAGTCTCATCAGGCATTGTGTCCATCTCCCTTCTAGTTCAGTCCCCATCCCATTTGCTATTCTAAAGACTAAATTATAAGATTAGCTGCTTCTAACACTCCTCGTATAAAATATTAGGAGAAAGAAAGAAAAAGAAAATACCTAATAAAGCAAGGAAGAATATGTGCATATTTACTACATTTTTGCAACCAGCCTCTGTTGATTATTGTAACTTCCTCCTTCTGCCTTCTAGCCCTTGTTCCTTTTGTCCTCAGCCAGCCTTCAGCGGTTCAGGATCCTCTATCTGGTGTAGCAACCCAAACCTTCCTTCCTTCAGGCTCTCTTGGTGGTTCTGCTTGTATTACTGTGGTTTTCCATTAACTTTTACTAATGGACATAGAGGTACAGAGGTGTTCAAAATTAGTATCATTAATTGTGGAACAACTAGACATTATGTGCCTGCAGATGTGGTATGAAGTTTAACAGGAAGTTCAAAGCATCCCTTTAAAGTGTTTGGCCAATCATGTTAAATCTGAATCAAACCAAGCTTTTAGATTACATGACTGTTTGCATTTGTCAAAACTCGTAGAACTATAAAGTAAAAAAGATGATATTTGCTGTAGATAAATTATACCTCGATAAATACAGCTTTTAAAAACCCAAACTTTAGATCCACCTCATTTCCCAGGAAATACTAGGGATAATTAAATGACAGTGTAAGGAAATAGACATATTTAGAATGTGGGACATTCTACATGACAGCTGGCCTGATCTCTTCAAAGAGTCAATGTCATGAGGGGAAATTGTCCTAGATAAGACAAGACTTAAGAGCCATAATAAACAAATTTACTGCATGAAACTTACTAGATCCTGGTTTCAGAGAAATAGGTATAAAATATATTTTTAGGACAATTATAGAAATGTGAATATGAAGGGAGTTTTAGGTGATATTAGAGAATTATTGCTATTTTTGTTACATATAATATTGGCATTGTTAATTGGAAAAATATCCCTACTCATTGGAGATATATGTAGAAATATTTAAGGGTTAAGTGTCATGTTTTTTTTTTTTTTAATTGAAGTATAGCTGATTTACAATGTTATGTTAGTTTCTGGAGTACAGCGTAGTGATTCAAGTTATAAATATATATTCTTTTTCACTATAGGTTATTACACATGATGTTTTAAATTTACTAAGAAATGATTCAGTTATGAGACAAAAAATGGCAAAATATGAATGATGGTTGAAACTAGGTGGTGGTACATGGACATTTATTGTATTCTTTTCTTGCTTGTTTGGAATTAGAATTAAAATTACAATGAAACAAACAACAAACAGGGAAGAGCTGCTGTTGGACCCACGTAGCTGCCCCACACAGCCTGTGGACCCAAAGTGGGAGATGGAACACAGAGTAAAGAGCCTAACGGACCACAGAGTATAGAGCACAAAAACTCCTATCTAGTGAAACTGGCACTTCAGTCCCTGCCGGTCTCAAAGGAGGAGGGGCTTCTGCCTCCCTTCCTCCTTCCAAATCATGGGTGTGTGATTGACCAGGCTGAACCTAAAACCCTGCTGGCCAAGAGCAGCTTACCCTGCAGGTAATGGAGCCTAAGCCTCCAGGCCCTTTCTTTCCACAAGCATCTTCCAAGGCTCCAGGAGTGCCCTAGAGATGTGCGCACAGGCTCATATGCTTCTGTAGCTATCTTTTCAGAAGTAATATATTTCAAATGCAAATAGTTCAGATTGCTGTCTATTTCGACTCTGATTTTCCTTGTGTCACACTTTCCCTTGTGTTGGATGGTATCAGTATGGCCATGGGAATTTTGGAGATCCAGATAAGAGGAAGTTGAACTGGGGATGCAGTTAGTTGGTGTCTAACGGGATCTGCTTCTGTGGTTTGCAGTCACTTGCAAGTCCGTCCTGTTGTAGGAATGGCTTCCGTGAAGACCCCTACTGCTCACCGTGCCAGCTCCCCAGGCTTTATGCTACCATGGTGCAGGGCAGAGTTCAGATCACAACGTGAATGTGTCTCAACACCAGAGGATTCAGTAGTGGAGGAGAAAAAAAGGTTAAAATGTACAAAGTCAGGATAATATTCTTCCACTTACCACTTGTATAAAATTGTAAATGAAGAATTTGGTGCTCACTGATGCCTAATAAAATGGAAGCTCTCTCCTAGCAAGGACATACTCAGTAACTTAGCTTACATATTTATAAATGCACCAAATCTTTTTTGATGTGCATTATGAATCATAGTTTATCAGAATTCCTACATTTGTAAGGCAAAACCAGCAGTACTACTAACAGTATGTCTCATATATTTTATGCACATCAGCTGTCAAGAATAAAAATAAATTTTAATGAAGTATGCTGAAAGGAAAATTCAATTATCTTTTTATTTATTCTCCATAAGATATTACAAAGTCTTGTCTTATGGAAAAGTGATTAAAGATCATGTAGCCCCCCAAAAGGAGGGAATAAACTATTATACAGATATGTTGGAAAGTTGAATAATTATAATATTTTTCCTGGTTGTAGCGATATTTGTGTTATTTTAGCTTTAAAAAATCTCTAATATATTATGATTTCCACCCTCATTCTAAATAATTATTTGCAATTCTGTATTTTTTTACTTAAAAGAAGGCCTCCACAATTGTATAAGCTTTAGACAGACAATGGCAGAGCAAAAAAGATACAATCCTGGTATCTTAAGACACTTAGCCCACAGTAGGGACGGTATAATAGCTCAGTGTGTGTTAACATGTATGAGGTGTTGGGTTTAATCCCCAGTATCTCCATTAAAACAAACAAACAAACAAACAAAACAAAACAAAACAAAGAGAAGCCATGGCAGCTCTGGATGGTCCACCTCCAGAGTCCTTTTATTTAGAGGAGAAATAAATATCTATCTTATTTAAGTGACTGTTTTACTGACTTTTCTGTTATGAACAACCAAATAGAATCTTAACTGCTATGCCCTTTGACTCAGCAGTTCCACTTCCAGGAATTTGTCCCATAGATATACTGGCACATTTGCAAGATGATGTATGGTCAAGGTCATTCATTGCAGCAAAAGATGAGAAACAATTTTTATGCTCATCAATGGAGACTACTTAAATAAATTATGTACATCCATACAGCAAAATAGTAAGCATTGGATATTAGGAGGAAGCTTGTCATGTTGATACGGAATTATCTGTAAGGTATATTGTTAAGAGAAAAAAGTAAGTATAGAGCAGTGTGAATACGGTGCTATAATTTGTGTTAAATTGTATATATATATACACACCATTGGTTGCCTCTGAGGGCAACTGAGTGTCTGAGGACAGAGTGGGAGGGAGACTTTTTACTGTGTTCCTTTTGAATAATTGTGAATGTTTAATCTATTAAAAAATAAGATAAAAACTAGAAAACATTCTTATAATTAATACTTGTATAAAATATATTATTTGTTAAATAAAAAATCTCTTTTCAGTGAGGGAGGGTATAGCTCAGTGGTAGAGTGCATCCGTAGTATGCAGGAGGTCCTCCTGTACCGTAGTATGCAGGAGGTCCTCCTGTACCTAATCCCCCAGTACCTCCATAAAAAAGAAAGAAATAAACCTAATCACCACCACCCTACCTCCCAAAAACTCTTTTCAGATTAAAAAAAATCCCTTAAGTCACCCATAGAGATGCCATATGCTTGGCTTGCAGGACAGTCCCAGTTTATGCCTCTTGTTCTGGTGTAATTATCAACATCATCTCACTTTCTCTGTCAGTGGTGTCCTGGTTTGGATGATAAACTATCTGGTCAACCCATCCACAAAGTATATCAGAGTCCTTAAGAAGTTCAGCCCAGCCAGTGGTGAAACTGATCCTATCTCTTTGGCTGATGACCAGATGAAGTAGTTGACTTGAGTTTAGGGACATTGAGTGAATTAAAAAATGTATGTTTGTAATAATAAATGGCTGTCAATGGGACAGGCAATGATCACACCAAGAAAGGTAATGGGGAGTGGAACAAACTGAAGGTCTGATAGCTTCTGTTTACCATCTTGTGCTGATTCTGGCTCATTGCTTAGTGGGAGGAATGGTGGATGAACTACTGTGCTATTTCTCTGATCATTTTCTTTCTCTTTTTGCTGTGTAATCATAAACACACATGTTACATGCTCATATATCACGGCTCAACTCTGTGGAGCTTACCACATTGTATTTGCAATCTGCCTATACCTCCTGGACTGTGAGCCCTGTAAGGACAGTGACTGTGCCTGATTTCTCCCTGTGTCCTTGACCACAGTCAAACTCATTAAATGTTTGTTGAATGAATGAATGAACTCTGTGGATACCTATGCTGACATCTGGTGCTCTCTTCCCCACAGACCCTGGTTGTCATGTCTTGAAGATTGTAATATTTTGAAGGCAGGAGCTAGACTTACTTGAATCAACACTGGAACCCCAACACAGAGCACTGGATATAGTAAGTACTAATAAGAATCAGTACATGCCTGGTCCATAGTAAGTTCTAATAAATATCAGTTTGATGAATGAATGAATGAATGAATGATTCAGTTTTTGCATCAGTCATCTGAAGACCAGTCTCTTAGACTGAGCATTCCTATCACTGGTATTTTGGACTCAATGTTTGTGTCTCCCTCAAATTCATACGTTGAAGCCCCTAACCCACAATGTGATGGTATTTGGAGATGGGACCTCTGAGGGGTAATTAGAGTTAGATTAGGTCATGAGGGTAGAGCCCTCGTGATGGAATTGGTGGCCTTTATAAGAAGAGAAAGCTTGCACACACGGGAGAAAGACCATGTGAAGACATAGCAAGAAGGCGGCTGGCTGCAAGGCAGGAAGTGAGCTCCCCTCAGGAAGCCAGTCTGCTGGCACCTTGATCTGGGATTTTCCATGCCTCTAGAACGGTGACAAATAAAATTCTGTTGTTTAAGCCACAGTCTATGGTATTTTGTATGGCAGCCAAGCAGACTAAGACAGGTGGTCCGCCTGGCCCTGGCGTGGGACAGGAGAGCTCTCTCACCCTGGTGGAGGAAGAGTCCATGGACGAGGCAGGGTTTGGACACCTTGCTGAAGGAAGACAGGGCTTGCTTTCCGAGCTGCCAGGGCCTCCTCTTGTCTCAGGCACTGCCCAACCCTGCTCGCCCCTGTGCCTGTGGATTCCTTACAGGGACTCCTCCCATGCCAGGGAATATACTCCCCTGGGTACTCAGGTTTTGATACAGTCTTAAAAAAATTGGCTGGGAGAAAGTGAAGTGCTGTAATATTTTCTAAATGCCACAACTACTAAGAATACAGGGATTCTAATTATTCAGTTAGATTGTGCCGTGTTCAAAATGGGCTGTGAGTTACACAGTTACCAGTGAATTAGCTGTCACGCCATCCTCTCTCCTCCACTTAAGAATACATTTCAAATTCAGGGGACGGTGATGTTGTTTTAGGGGAGATATTGACTTTAGTTTTCCAAAAAGTAGCTAGCTCACAAATTGTAGTAGTCTCACTGTTAATAGTAACAAATTACCTTACAACTGGCTGAGACACTCTAAGGTACACAACCAACTATTCCTTTGTTTAAGTACTGCCTCCTTCTACATCCACTTTAGACCTGTAAGTGCTCTCGAAGGATAACATATCACTAACTCCCTATCTACTTCTCTACGTAACGATGGAGTCTGGTCTGGTGTGATATGAAGTTGCTTGTGTGTGTGTGTGTGTCTGTGTGGTTGGGGACGTGGGATAGGGCTGCTAGAAAGGGCATGGGGTAGAGAAGGGGTGCTGAGTGCTCCCAATGCTCACAATTTTGCTTTGGGCCCAAGAACAAGGCTCAGAGACAAGCATTAGGTCATCTGAGGGTGGTGATTCTGTGTTACATGTGGCAATAGTCACCATTTCTCCTGACCTGTGTATCATCAGGCCTAATTGTCCTCTGATAACTGCTCAGCTCGAGGAGGCCGTCTTCTGAAGAGATGGTGCTTGGCTTGCACTTGGCCCCCCTTTTTGTGTCAGGGACCCCTGCTCTCTGGAAATAATGAGTGGTTTGGTGGAGGGAGGAAGTGGAGAACTTGAGATCAGATGCACTGGGCTTGAATTCTGGTTATCACTTATTAGCTGTGTGGCCTTGGGCAAGTCACGTGACCTCACTGAGTCTCAGTTTTTTCATAGTGAACAGGTTGATAATAAAAGTTTCTACCCTAGAGGACTGTTGTATTAAGTAAGACCAATATAGTGCTTAACATAGCTGTTGGCACATAGTAAGCCTTCAGTAAATGTGAGCTATTATTTATTTCTGTATGTTTGCTCATTCTTCTAATAAACTGAAGGCGGTGTAAAAAGACTTTGGTTGGGACAGTTGTCATTCACAGTCTACCATTCAGCTTGTCACTAGGACAAAAACCAGAATGAGTGGGCAGAACCTAGTACAGTGTCAATCAGGGAGACATGCCTGGACTGTCTGAGTGATATCTGGGATACACAGAGCATCCTGTGGATACTGAGCTTCTTTGAATCCTGAATGTGCAGGAATAAGGCAAGAGTTCAACTCTGAGAGAGGCTGTTGGAATCCAAAGCCCGAGTTCTAGAGAGCGAGAGTCTGGGTGTTCTTCCCAGAGCAGTCCTTTGGTGAGAGACAGGAATGTGAGAATGCCAGGCTACAGAGGGAGGGGTTTAACCATCCTACAAATCACTGCTTGCTGATACCTGGAAGCTGTCTCTCCCAGGACAATGAGATGCGCATAGTTGAGGGCGATGGCATGGGAAGCTGTGTCTACACCCTGGACCCGACCAGATTGAAGCTCAGATTTTAACAAGCAAGAGAAATGAGCTCTGTGTTTGGAGGCTTGTCACTAATCCTAGGATCTTTATTTGGCTGAGGTGCCTCTCTGGGTCTTGGTTTTCTCACCTATGAAACCAGAGAATAGATGGTCTCTGGGATACCTTCCACTGCTGACATTCTGTGGCTGGAAGATCATGAAAGAGGAAGAAATGGTTTGTTTTTGGTGGCCTGGCCTTTCTGCATCTTGCTATTTCTCCACCTTGCCACTGTCTCTGGGTCCCAAGGACATTCCTGCTGCCACTTGGTGGTCTACGACCCCCATATTTGTGGTCACCTGGGTCACCAGTACTGGTGACTCTGACATTTTTCTTTTCATCTATCTCTCCCAGTCCATGCAAGAGGATGAGTTTCTCATTTCCCCTTCTTACCCTTCCACTCGTGACAATGGTGCCATTAGGTCATTCATTCGTTTATTCATTCACTAGATTGTGGGTACAGGGCCAAGGGCAGTGGCTACAGTGATGGTGAAGCAGGCATAGTCATGTGCTTGTGGAGTGAGCATGATGGTGGAGGACACCAGTCTGGTGACAGGTGTATTGAGAAAGAAACAGGCTCTCTGAGGGCAGTTACTGGGGAGAAAGTGGATGGGAAGGGAGCAGGGCAGGTAAGATCACTTTGAGGGTGGGGCCTTTGAGCTGAGGCTTCAGTGGTAAGTAGGAGTAAGGCAGGAGATGCAAGCAAATGTGTGGGGAGGAGAAGGGGCTGGGGGAGGAGGGGGCATGTCAGCTCCAGGAGGGCAAGGATTTTTGACTTTGTTTAGTATCCCAATGCCTCAGGTGATAGCCCCTCAACACAGAGTCTAGACTGAGTCCCATATCAGAGTCCTGATGGCCTGGAGGCAGCTGAAAGGCCAGTTCTCTGCACTGCTGTCTTTCAGAAGCTCAAATCAGCAAGAGTAGGAATCCAGGAGCCAGTTAGGAGGCTCATCTGGTGT